GGCACCAATTCTGATTCAATTCAAAGCTTTCATTTACCAACGCACCCATGTGATGCTTTCGCACCTCAACACGGAAATGGGGGGCCTACAAAGCTGAAGCCGATCAGTTTCGGGCTAAGCTGCTACACAGTAAGGCAGAATGTCATGAGGAAAAGCAGCACTCAAACTCGCCACACAAGGCATGGCACTCCAGGCACGCGCGCTGCACTTCGAAACAGCCCTCAAGCCCAACGAGCTACAGACATGCGCAGCTTCGCAAATCGCTCGACGATAATCGCTCGACGATTCTAGAGTACCTTGCACAGGAGTTTGAGGAAAAGCTTCAGTGGGAAAAGAATGAGTGTTATCAGAAGTTGAGGGCTGAAATGACTGCCGAAGAGTTGCAGCATGACGAGTTCGTAACGGATCCAATGGATCAGAATGCCGAATTGCAGGCTGAGGCCAACTCACTAAGGATTGAGTTTGCCGAGAGGAGAAATAGCCCAACGCAAGTTGGAGCCCATCCCGCAAGTGGCATTGGCGCAATGAACGAGGCTGATCCATCGCATCCTAGGCCACCGCAAGGTGGTGCCACATCGTCTGGTGCAGCAGATTCCGAAGGAACTTGAGGGGATTTTGAAGTTTGGGGAAGCCGCAGGTTTTCAACATTGCTGATGTACCTCAGGGAAAGGAGGATTTAGCTCATAATGTTGAGCCGATTTCTAGTGAAGCGAACAAACCAGAAGCGACTAGCGAACTTCTGCAACCACTGGCTACCTACGAGCTGCAATCGGCAAAACCGATGATGACAAGCCAAAGACCAAGGAGGCTGAAACAGTGAAGCTTCCCGATTTCCTTAACCCAGAAACTTACAGATCATGGAAAATCGCGGTCCGTGAAGCAGTACGAGCCGCTTCGGACAAGCCCGACGAAGCCTTTAAGTGGATTGATTCAGGAAGTTTATGAGAAGGCAGCCACTTTGGAGGCATTCCGGGATACGGGAAAGTTTCTGACTTTGGACACCAAGATTCTGTCCGCTTTGTCACAGGTCGCTAAGCGCGAACTTGGTAGACAGATCATCAACTACAAGGAGTCAGAAGCTGCGGGTGGAAGGGCCGTTCGTGGTAAACAAGTTCTTCTCATGTTTGAGCACTGTTTTGAGACCAATGAGGAAGCAGGCCCTCTCTACAGCGTAGAAGACCTCCTCAAAGTGCAACTTGTCAGCGACCATCTCAGAACTTTCATTCACAACTGGGAATCGGTCATCGCCGGTCTCAATCACCAGCCCGAAGAGACGACTCTTAGAGACATACTTCTCTGCCATATCAGGGGTTCTAGCAAGTTGAAGTTCGATCTTGAGGTGTATGACAGCGCTAAACAAGGCGAAGAGAAACACACTTACGACTATCTTGTGAAGTGTGTGAAGGAACTCTTGACTATAGAGAAAGGACTCGACGCAACCGCACTGCCATTACTAAGCCTCATGGTGCGAAGTACAGAGCTCCTGCGCCCACTGACGAACCTTCAGCTCGCAATACCCCTAGAGGACGTGAGCAGAAGAAGCCCTGTTTTGCAAATGCCCCAAAGGCAAAGAACTGCCCTTTCGCACACGTGAAGGCCGATCAGTCCAGGCAGAATGCTCCCGAAATCCCCCAACGAAGGACGAGGTGGTAGCGCTGGCAATGGAAAGGGAGGATGTAAAGGCAAGGATAAATCCAAGACCCCATGCCTCTTCTACCAAAAATTACCTGTAGAAACGGGAAGAACTGGGGTTCCTACGCAAGGATGCTAGCCCTTCTGTCCCGGCTAAAGGCGATGAGGACGGCAAGCAACGAGCGCCGTCGCCGGCAAAGTGTGTTGCATTTCCTCAAATGCCACCCTTACGGGTGAGCCCATTGCTGTGGATGCGCCGAAGTTTGCGCAAGCCGCCCGCAAGGGCGAATCCGGTCCGATGAGCCTCAACATCACCATGAGGCTTGACAACGGACTCGTGCCATGGACCATCCGGTTTGGCGAGAACTTCAGCGGTAAGAAGATCCCACTCGGAGCCAAAGTCCTTTATTGGGCGCACCCAAAGCAGAAGATCCCACAAAGGTCAAAGTTTGCTGGCGCTGGAATAGAAGGCATATTGGACGATTATATTCAGCCGGGCTTTGTCTTTAAGGCTGAGTATCTTCTTGTGGCACCTCTCCATGACATCCAGAATGCTCTGGGGAATGATGACTTGAGGATCTTCCGCGCTAAAAGGCTCAAGGAATTGGATGGTGATTTTATCTTCCCGCCTCTCGTCGAATCGGATTCCACTGGTAAACTACCGAGTCTTGATGATCAACATATGTCAATGTTCTTGACTCGCAAAACCCGCATCTACCTCTGGAGGAGGGGGGTCAAGACCATCTCGACCGCGATGAACGCGATGATATCCTTCCCGACTATAGCAAAGGCGAGATCGACGATCTGTTCGGGGACGTATATGGGATGATCCTCCATCAGAAGATGCGGAAAATATAGCCGCCTGCGAGGGTGAGTCAGAAGCAGCTAAACGAGCAGCATTGCTGGACGATGTACCTCACTCAATCAAGAAGAACTTGGCTGCAATGTCAGCACCTTCTCCTCCGTACGGTTATGTTTGGAACGGCAGTTGCCTAGTCAGAAAGGAGGACTGTATTGATCATACATCGTGGAGGAACATGTCTAAAAGACAAAGAGCTGAAGTCGTAGCTGAACAGGAAAAATTGGTTCAGGCTGCGTACGAGGTCGAGTGTGAAGCGGCGGTCAAAGCAGCCCCTGCTACGCCGGACGCCAGTCTTGCATGGCAAATCAGACGATCATCGAGAAAGATTGCTAGAGCTTTAGAACAAGAAACTCACTGAGGTCTCCGGTGACATGTGTGCCGTCGTCGCGAAGGTTTTGTCGTCCAAGGAAGTAGCCAGCGCTCCAGCAGCACAAGCAGTGCTGGATAAAGAATGGCAGAAGCTGGTCGACAAAGGATGTTGGATCGATAATTATTAAGAAGGTTAGGGTGTATGAATCCGTAGCCTCCGAAGCCGAGCAGGAAGTGCACGGGCCGGTCAGTGTCCCAAGGCATTAAAGTTGTTGATGAGAGTTCTGATCATGCTCTCTTCGCAGAGATGTCTAGTAGTCCAGCATCTATGGAAGCGGGTAAAATTCTAGACGTCTTCGGTTCACAGTCGGGTTACGTCAACCAAGAGGCTGACGCGAAGCAAGCGTACACCCAGGCATTGTTCAGGGGGGTCTCCACTTAGGTCAGGCTACCGAAAAACCGTCGGCCAAAGACCTGGGAAGGCATGAAGGATCCCATGCGTGGTACCCTTGAAACTTGAAACTTGCTCTTGACGGACACCCCGGTTCAGGGGGGATGAACTGAAGAAGGTGGGCTTCGAGGCAGTGCTCACTGACATCTGGAAGAGTGTCTTCTACTACCCTACAAAGAAGTCGCTACCAGTGGTTCCTGAAAACCTTCTTGCCGTCAGACATCACCACTATCCCCGAAAGCGCCTTTACGCACCTAGCGAAGATGATGCAAAAATTTCCCTCGGAGGTACACGGTGGTGGCTAAGTCTGATTCCAATGAAGCTCACGATCGCTGTCTCAAGGAATGATGGGATGGCACCTTGCAGGCCGGGAACAGGGAGATTTCGAGTTGGCTGCTGCAGCTACCCGCAAGGGTAAGCCTGTTTGGAACAAGTCCGAGGCTAAGAAGGAGGTCAAACAAAGCAAGTTTGTTACGCCGTCACAGGACCAACCTAGGGTCATGTTCAAGCCGGTCACTCGCGGTACCTACGATGTGAAAGATTTCTTGGATTCATGCGTTGACCGATATTGCGAACTTGCTAAAGTAGAACGCAAGACTCTCAAGCCAGCTGCAACCCCCTTTCACGAGCGCCGAACAGCGAAGCCTCTTGTGGGTGAAGAGGAAGAGGCTGGGAGAATGCAACCGATCGCGAGTCGCGTGGTGATGAAGATCTTATTCGATGCCCATATGGCTAGATGGGATCTACTGAGGGCTAGATGTGCAATGTTTCTAGTAGGACCCAACACGTATTCTCCACTTAATGCTTGTAGCAAAAAGTAAACTTCAGCCACCTTGAGTTCCACCGAGTCAGAAGTGGTTGCAGCCAGTCAGGGGTTGTGTGCCGAAGGTCTGCCTTGCCTCAGCCTCTGGTGTTTCCTGTGGCGTGGAGATGCCGGCCGCATGGCCGAGCCTTGGGTTGAGAAAGCCACGGCAACAAATGCATCGGCCACAGAGTACTATGGCAAGAAGCATCGGCTCCTCCCCTGTCAACCCGGAGGACATCGTCGGCGACAAGGAGGTGAAGTTCAACCACGGTGATTTGAAGTTCCTTTCGCTTCTTCTCCGTGGCCATGAGCTTGAGGATCACAGCTTGACCTTCGATGCCGGCTGTTGTGGCCGCCAGACGCAGGGGCATTCGGCATGCTTCGGACCGCAGAAAGCGGACAACAAAGGCCGCGTCCGCCTTTTGGGCATTGAGATCCCAATGCGTGAAACCATCGGGCAGCCTCTTCTCCCAGTAAGAATCCGAGTCACGCAACAAGGACACAACCAGAAGCTGGTGATCGGTGATGAGGCACTGATCAAATCGAGTGAGGTTGGTAACGGTGCTCTCCAGTGACGAGACGCCGAAGACAAAGTACGACCGTGCCTCTCAGCAGGGCCTCGAGAGCGTCCTTCCGAAGGGTGTCATCCCAGGTGCGAAGGACTCCGGTAGGGCACATTGCTATTGGAGCGCGTCAACCCGTCGAGATCGCGATCGACGCCCTCAAGGCAATGTCCAGTGGCTGCGAGTTTTTCGTGACCCAGTCCGATGGGACGCTGACTCGCAACACCATTCCACCCGACTGCGTCATTGCCGCTATGTTGCCGAGGCGACAGAAGCCACCGTCACTGGTGAGCTTGATCGCCCTTTCCGTGCAAAGCGGGACCACGAGGAGGCGGCGAGTTCATCCCACTCAACGGCGGTGAAGGCTAACGCTGTGCCGAAGGTGGCCAAGCAAAAGGCAAGGCCAACACCATCGGTGTCGCCCATGGCTGATGTTGCTATGATGATGCTACAGCCACCCGCAAGGGCGAGCCTTCATCTGCTGTTGATGTCGAGGTGGAAAGTGACACCACCGATGCAGGCGAAGTGGAGCAGTTCCCATTCGGCTCGTATCTTTGCAAACGGTGCCAGGCAGTTGTTGCGCGAGGAATGTTGTTCCGTCTTCGTTGCCAGGCTCCACAACCAGATGACTCGGCGAAGACCACGAAGCGCTTCCTCGACAACAAGAAGTTGCGTGATCGACTACTCGCCACTGCCGCAGCTGGATCAAGGAAGCCGATCGAGGACCTCATCACCTCAAGTGCGGGCAAATGTCTGCAGAAGCAACTTTGATTCGCGATGCCAAAGGCCGTCTGATCCGCTCAAAGAAGTTGGGTTACGACTCAGTGGCAGAGCGCTTCAGTGATGATGACACCTTTCAAATGCGAATGCTTCAGGAGGGCAAGAGCATTGAAGACATGCAAAAGTATGCTTGCTTGGCAACAGCATGCCTCCCCGACCCTGGGCGAACTGAGGAGCAGCGTGTTCTCCGTGCCGGATCCCACTATGCACCGGGTGGAAAGACCGTGCCGCGAGGCAAGCTTGTCTTCTATGCCCACAGCGATATGGGGCCTCTCCGGTCGTTGCGGGCCTAATTGATGATGTCGGCATGTTGCCATTGGTTTCTGCTACATGGGAGCTTTCTTGCCACCCCGCATTTATGCGGACATCATCATGATCACGCCTGAGGCCCGCCGCATCTTGACCTTTGATGGCGAGGTGCGCATCAATGCCACAAATCACGATGGCGTCACGGAGTAGATGTCTCACATCATCAACGACAGTCTCCCGAGTGCTGAGCGGCAGAATGAGGTGACTGAGCGTTTGGCTTATGCAAATCGACAGGTTGCAGCCAAGAACAAAGGAACCCCAAATGGGTTTCCTGCTGCACCCAGCATTTCGGCAGCTGCTCCGACATGCGGAGGGTACACGCAGTCCGAATGGGACGAGTGGAACCGCTCCAGTCAGCGCAGAAGGTACTCGCAAGCCGAGTGGGATGCCTGGAACCGTCTCCGACGGTATTGATGCCTTCCTGCCCAATCGCGTAAGTTTTGGACTTGCAGACGTTTCCCGGCTTTATACAAGCTCTCTTTGGCAACACCATCACTTTAGAGCACGGGGCAACCTGGAGCCTGTGTATGCTATAATGTCCGCCTTAGCTGCAGCTGCACGGCGAGGGGGGTGTAGATTTTACCCTGGCTCCAGTATTACTTTTGCTGTCCTTAGCTGTACCTTTACGCGATTACTTCGGGCTCAAGTCCCTTAAGAGAAAAAGGTTTTTGCAGGGTTGACGTAACGGTAGGATTTGTGTAGCTGGCTGTAAACCCTGAAACTTCAGAATTTGCTCAAGCGACACAGTGTCGGTAGCTATGGGACATCGGTTGCGGTTTTGTTCTTTGGGATGGTTTGTCCAGTAGCAGTCGTATGATTTTTTTCATATTTGGGGTGGTTATTTTAAAAGCTTCGCGTCGTCCGCCTCGGCCCGGCTGTACTTGAAGCAGGTGCACTGTTTCCGAAAGCAACAGGTAGGAAACAGGTGAGGTCTTGCGTGAACGGGTGCATTTGCCCCAGAATGTGTTTTTAATGTCAGTATTTGTTTTCATGCTGAGGAAAGGTGGCACATTCCTTGCACCATCCTATGGACGCTACTATAAGAGTCGTACTGCACTTCTGTACAACCTCCCATATGTTGGAAAGGGAATGGTGAATCAAGCTTTTTGCAATCAAGTACCAGAATTCCCAGGCTTTTGCATCAACGTCCTTCGCCCGCCGCAAGGGAAGAGACGAGGGAAGGGGTGGAGGGGGGGCGGGCGGGGGCGGGGCAGTCCCGACAATCCGCCAGCAGAATCTCGCCAACCCTCATCCCGTTTTCAGGCAGGGGGGGAGGGCAAGGGGGGGTGGGTTCGATAAGGGGGGGGTGTGGGGAAACAGGGAATCTTTGTGGGAACTTGACCGCTTCGGCCGGGGCCAAGGCGAATTTTCGGTCTTCCTGCTCGCCGGACTTTTTGGGCTTGCATGTTTGCTTTTGGTTGGGATTGTCCGAATGGATGTTGTCAAGAAGTGCTCGTTGCGGCAGTTTTTTTCCAACAACACATTCTGCCCACTATCGGCCATCAACGCCCAAGTCCGAAGCCACAAACCGTTTGCTGTATGCCATTACGCTGCACTAAGTCATGAAACCCGCGTGAGCTTTGTCATTATTCTTCTTCTCGCTTATGTGCATACTTGTGATTTTCTCAGGCTGATGCACTCGACTGGGCGAAGGCTCTACGTGAGGAGATGGAGTGACTGGGCTGGGTGAAGGAGTGTTCCTTCCTCGATGGATTGAAGAGGTTGGAGAGGTTTGGGAGCTTGTGCGGATCGAGTGCTTCGCAGCTTGCAAGCAGTGACAAGAGCCAGTTGGGTTGTTTCCCCTTGCGGGGGCTGTTAGCCGCGGCAAGCCCTTAGGGCTTGCGGAATGCAAGAGTTGGGAGCCTGAGCCTGTTGAAGCCTTCAGGTATGTAGAAGCGCTCCTCTCCTGGCCTATGCCATTGGAGGGCCGCCAGGGTGATGTCAGGCAAAGCTCCAATCGTTTTGTCCAATCATCTTTATCGGCGTGATCCCCTGATCGACTTCCGGAGATTCCCGGGTTTTCCTGAACGTCTTAGACGTGATGTCCTGTAGGAGTTCTCATGATGAGCTGTCAGCTTGGAGTGGATACTGAGCTGCGTAGCACTGCGCCTGCTGTCTGATTTCGCTGGTTATGCTGCATCGGTCAGCGGGACTGGGGGATGTCAGGAAACTTCACAGAGGTGGGTGTCCCATTATCTCACAGCACCCACCTGAGATTCATCGAGAGTTCGTCAAGCCTGTGACACGGTCCAGCTGTCGTTTCTTTCAGCGTCGCTAGCCTTGAGCCGGAACGCAACTCGCAAAACCAGGGCCCTTGATTCCCGGTGGAGGTACTATGGCATCGAGTATCCATCCTGACACGCTTTGCGGGAGTGTTTCGGTCGTCCTGATCGTTGCACTCCCTTGCGCTGTAGATTCGCCTGGGGATGATGATGAACGATGGCATGACCTTCTCTTCTCATCTCCATGCAGAGAATTTCCTTGGCAGTGAAGCAGCAAGCTTGCTTTGCATCCGACCCCTAAGTACAGTCCCCCGTTCTCCAGTATGTACCGATGCGATCTAAACTCAGGGTTCCGTCCACCGGTTCTCAGCTCCTAACCGGACTCGTCATAAATCAGAGTGTGCTTCGTCTTTAGTAGACATCCTTTGGAGCTGTACTATATGCCCCAGGCCTTATTCTAGATAGTGAAGCCCGGAGCTTCTGTGCTTCTCGATGCAAGGTAATTGCACTAGCAGCAACTGAAAGATGCCTTCTCTTACTCAATCGTTGGGTTGCTGCTCTGCTAAACCCTAGAACCCCATTACGAGGGACCAGCAACCCAACATGCGAAGGATGATAACGAGACAGTCTGGCACAGAGGCTGCGGTTGGAACAAAGGCTTTCAGGATCTGCTGTCGTGTGATCCCTGACAGTCTGCTTTTGAAATCCTGTCGCTGCCCTTCTTCCTTTAAGTCATCGTTTTATGCGCATTTCCTGTTACGGACCATCACGCCTGGCTTATAGACAGGACGTCTTCTCAGAACCGTTTATCTCGAATAAATCAGACTTGAACCCAGACAACAATCTTCAAAATCTCCAAACAAATCTCTCACCGTCAACCTCAACTTTCAACCCTGCATCCCAAACTCCAAGCAGCCCATTCTGGCCATGCGTTCTGCATAGCGTCTGCTGGGAGCTGGGCGGCTTCATGGCCGTGTGGCTCCAAGCAATCTGGTCGCTAATGATGCTGAGTGCAAGGCTGGTTGTGGCTGTTGCTTCCTAGACATGCCGTGAAAGTCCGAACAGCAGCCAGAAGTTCAAGAGTCGGAAATGAGCATCGCCGTGCAGCGGTCAACCCTTATCTCTTTGTCGTGCCTCTAACCCAAAGTCTCACCACGAAAGTAGCACGCAATTAGACATTGCGTGAAGCCTACAGTAGCCTACACGAAACAGTGTAAAGAACAAGCTGCCTGAGTCCGGCCAAAGTCCCAGGCTTTGTAGGCCAGCCAACCACCAGGAAAATTTCAAAACTTGGAAGCCTTCTACTCTGAGCTAACCCCACGGCGTAAAAGCAGATGCGCTCAGGAGATTTGCCAATGCTTTAAGTTCCTGTTTCTCCTCCTGGGCTTCGTGGCATGTGGGCTCCTGTTCTGCAGTTTTGGACAGACCGCAAACCTTGCTTCTTGGTCTTGCGGGCGAATCCAGCAGCTTCATTGAGAACATCTGCAGTCATGGAAAGCGGGTTTGAAAACAACACAAAGAACACATTACTGTAGCGCTGTAGTGATGTAGTCTATAGGTTGAGCCCGGAGTTCATGCAACAGTCACAGGCATGTCTGGCGATTGCACTGCCCTTGAAGCTGCGTAGGGTCGGCAGGCTTCGTCTACAGGACACGAAAGTGCGGGACTAAATGCTCAAGTTGCAAGGCATCTAACCCAAGGCGTCAATAAGGAATCCCGATGCCCTGAAGACTACGATATGGGCACCAAGTAGGTTCTGGCAACAAGGTTGCTTAGTTGAGTTCAGAAGCAGAGACGAACTCTTTGTGACTCGGAATAGTCACGTGCCAGCACCCCTCATCAACTCCAAAGCTCCCATGCACAGACTCCGTCAGACAACCCGAAACCCGTCAGCCTCAGCGGAACCTCCGACCCGGACCAGCAAGGCTCATGGTGTGGAAGGCGCAGTCACAGACTGACCCTGGGTTGGATGCCTGAGGACTTGCCTGTTGGTGAGATGTCTGCTCACGGTGTACGGGGAGTTGGGCATGTGTCTTTCGAGGCATACAGGGAATGTCGGACATACGTGGGACGTCGGGAATGACCATTGAGGGCTTGACGAAAGCTGAATTTCGCACTCTTTCCCAAAGCCAGCACCCAGATCTGAGAATGCTACAAAAACGAGGCTGCATATTCCACAAAGCTTTCACGGTAAACCAGAAATTGCTATCTGAGTTTCAGAACATTCTTGTGGCAAGCGCGCCGTGTGTTGAGGTTTTGGCATTTGCCGCGAGGAGCCCGAGCTGAACACCACTAAGCCCTACCTGCTACCCCCGAACGGCCAGGCTACTGAGCACGAGGCCACCGACTTCCTCACTCCTCTTCCGGTTCTGACCTTGTCTACGGTCACGCTTCGTCTTTGGATTGTCGGGACTTGTGGCTCTCGTGCACTTCTTGGGGGTCGATGCTATAGAGGGTCAGGGGCCCACGCCGCAAGGCACCAAAGTCCAGACTGAAGGCCACGCTCTCCAAACACCGTGCGCTTTAAATCCCTGAAACTGAAAGGCTCCAAAAGCCCATTGCAGTATCACTTTGAGGCTCTCAGGCCTAGAAGAGGCTGCGGCTTGGTGCTCGTACGGACTCTGAGCATACCAACAGGAAGTTTGTTTGTGACTTCCTTCGGGACTTGGTTGGCGGTGTCGCGCTCTTGTTCGAAATGTCGTGGTTCGTACATGTAAACTGCTTGAGAACCTTGTGCTTTCAAAGTGCGCCCCACAAGCCGTCGGTACCTAAACCTGACCACACAACAGTCGCAAATGCCAGCTGCAAACTGCCGGCATTCTGGCTATCGCGGCCGCGATCTCGTGGTCCAGACATTTCTTGACTCTAGCCGGGAAGGGCCCTTCGGTGGAGAGCGTTGGGTGCATCTCAATTTTCGGAGTTTGGTTTCTCTGATCAGGGTCGTATTGTCGCACTTCCACACAAGAGGGTCTGGGGCCCACCCAAATCAAAGCGAACCACCAAAGACAGGTTATGTTCGAGTATTCCTACAAACCTTCCCCAGCGTGAAGGTCCAAAACCCATCGATCCACGGGTCGTCTGAAAAACCCAGGTCAGGACCCCAAAGCTGCCCTGCGCTGCACCTTCCGAGTATCAGAATCAGAGCTTCAGCCAGGTGTACGATGTCCTTTGTCTGTGGTTTCCGCAAGGACGACTGCGTGCCTTCGCCACTTCTATGCGAAAGCATGGTTCGTCATCACGTGAAAGCACTATGGTGCACTGGGTCAGACTTAACTGAGTTAATGGTTCTGTTTCAGGCCACAGGTGCTGCATCCATTGGTCTTTTGTGAAGGTCGAAAAAGACTTGGGGAGGGGGTGCGATTCGAACAATGTTGCATGAAGATCTGCCTCGCTGAACTTCTTAGTTTCCCTCATCCTTGACTAGTGACTACAGGTAGCGTACGAGATAGTAGTCGTTGTTGTGGTTCTACGGTTTGCATCAAGGGCTGTGCACGGCAGTCTGGAAGCCGATTATGTTCTAGACCTTTGCCCCGGTGTGCAGAGCGCCTGCTCTGCGTGGGGGCTCCGACACGGCTCTTCGAGCAGTGCGTCGCATGATCCAGCAGCTTACGTTGGCTAACAGGTTACCAGCCTGTGTCAACTTAGCCATTCTGCGCCAAAGCCCAAGCGGCTCTAGAAACTATAATATGTCACATTGTTTGACTGCAGTCCAAAGCCCTGGACGACACCCTAAATGCCATGTCTCACACTCAGCGAAATACGAACTGAATGATTCTCCTAGTTCAATATCAGCCTTCCCGAACCTGAGTAGCCTTAGTATCAGCCCTACTTCATGGCAGGAGTCGCAGCCTTGGAACTGGGAGTGCCGGGCTCGAGCTGAGGGCTTTCAGTCAGGGCATTCGTCTAGAAGCCGTCAAAGAAGCAAAAAGTTGTCTCTGTCTTCTTAGCTGTGATTGTTGATATGGTGGTAGTGGTGGTAGTGGGCTCTGGTGTTGCGAAAGGAGGCCAAGGAGTCATGCAGTTTGCTCTGGCTAGCCTCTTTGGCTGCAGCTTCCAGGTGGAGATAGCAGCCCGTCTGAGCTGGCTCCAAGGAAGGGCGAACAGCTCTGTTAGCGTCAAAAAGACGCAGGCGCCAAGAGTCGCGTCATGCTTCTGCGCGAATTCGCCTTTTGTCTCGAGACGGGCAAACGCCGTGCTAAGACGTGCTTGGCAAAATGTGCGGCCGAACAGATGTTCGACACGGATTGACATGGAACTGGTCTCTAGAGAGCGGGGTCCGTCGCAGCAGAGCGTGTCGCGCTCTGCACAGGACTTTCAGGCTGTGCATCGATTTTTTGTTTCCTTGGGGCATCGATTGACCGCCGGTGTTTTGTGTGGGTCTTTGCTGTGTAAGCACATGTTGTAAAGCACACGTAAGGCCCGACTTGTCCTGATAGGCTTGAGGGCAAAGCTCAAAATCCTGACTCCCTTATCACAGTCTGACCCAGGCATGCTGTACGAAGAGGCACCAAAACGTGAATCTCGCGCCACCAGACAATACAAGGGACTCTTCGAACTGGCTCGAGCAGGCAGGAGGTTGCTGCCATTTAGCGGGAGCCTGACCGCATAACTTTTTTCTTGTGCAGCAAACCTACCCAGGCCTGGGGTGGGGGGGCGGGTGGGTTTTCAAACGTTTAAAGCGTTCTGTTGTCTCCTGTACCTCACCGCAATTTTAAAGGTGGGCACAGGCGGAGGGTCGACCGAGGAAACTCGAGCGACTATGTTAGCTCCCGCCTTGCTTCATATACATCGATGATGTTGCTGGGTTCCTGGGGAGGGTTGGCATCTGGTGAAGGGTTTGCGGATATACATCTGGAGCAAACCTGGTTGTAGGTAGGTAGGTAGGTAGGTAAGTAGGTAGGTAGGTAGGTGGGTGGGTGGGTGGGTAGGTGGGTAGGTGGGGTAGGTGGGGTAGGTGGGGTGGGAGGCAGGGAGGGAAGGAGGACGAAAAAAGGTAGGTTGTGAGGAAGGCAGGAAGCAAGGTCGGTAGGGAGGAAGGAGGTAGGCAGGAAAATGCATACATGTGTGTGTGTGTGTGTGTACATGCATATGTATGGGCAGACACATACTCAAGTAGTTCCAGCAGTCTGCGACCCACTCGAAACTTACCGCTCAACAGCGGCTTGATGGAGGTGAAGTCAAGATCCCGGTAGAGGTTCCAAGGGGGAAGACGCTTCTGAGCATAGGATGGTCAATCATCGGCTTTGCTGCTCTTTTGGGCAGGTCATGGCGCCCCGCAGCTCCACTGCGACTTCGACCGCATGATCAGTCTTCCAGGGATTCATAGCTTCAAGCGCGAGGTTCAAGATTGGCGGCGTTGGGATTGGGATCGCAGGATGCTAAGAATGAAAGCCCGGGCAATGGGCATGCTTGAGGCTGCATGCTAGCCGGATGTTGCACTGCTTGTGGTACTGAGCGCAGCAGTTTAGACTGTTGGGAGCCCAAACCCAGGATGTTTTCTGTGTCGAACTGAGAAGCTAATGGATACGCTTTTGCAGTGCACCTGAGAGATGATCTCGGTTTTCGATAACCCAGCACCACAGTTCAAAGCGTTCAAACTTTCCGTCTTTTCATCTAAGGCTCAAGACCTCGGGCAAAGGGTGGCTGTCTGTCCATGAGGGACGTTGTTTCAGTCCTTCCGGCCGTCCGTTCGTCCGTTCGTTCGTTCGGTTCCCTCCGGCCATCCGTCTGGCCGCCCGTCCGTGCGTCAGTCCGTCAGTCACGGTCGGACAGGTATGCAGCAATCAGTCAGTCAGTGCGTCAGTTCGTTTCTTGCTCGTTTAGCTGGGTTACTTCGTCAGTCGTAGTTTGTTGAGTAGTTACTCGCCGAGCGAGAGAGATCGAGAGTGAGGGTGAGAGTGAGAGTGCGATAGAGAGGCAACATGAGACAACAAAAGAGTTGTGATCCTTCGACGAGTGGCCTAGGCTGCCAAAGACCCCAATGCCAGCCACTTCATAACGGAGGGGTGTTTGGACCAGCCTACGGCCTGAGCGTGGCGAGCCGACCCCTAAGCCCAACAGAAAAAACAAGACAGAGACAGAGAGACAGAGAGACAGAGAGAGAGAGAGAGAGCGGGTGGGGAGAGAGCGAGAGCTTGGGAGAGGGAGAGAGACGAAGAGAGAGGGCGACAGAGAGCCTAGTCATGTTGGCTCAAGTCTAAGCCGGAGAGGGGCAACAGCGACAGGGAAGCCGGATACTTCAGGACCCAAGCCTCTGAGGTCCGAGACTTGCAGCTCAGCAAACTGCATCGACCAAAAAGCTTCATCTTGTTTTTTCTCAACCGCTACATTTCTGCATCTTGCGATCTGAGGCCGCTTTGACCATTGCCGCAGGTGCCGCAGGTTCCTTCCAGCCACGAATCGTCACCGACGCCTACACTGCTAGCAAAATCCAAACGCTTGCAGTTCGGTTTTCCGGCTGAGATTCGTGTTGTTTGGAAGAAGCTGGAAGCCCGGATCACAGCTGCCTAGTCCGAGCCGCCTCTAAGGCCTGTTGCCGTAGGAAAAGCTGTTCGGACTACCGCAACAGGGCCCATCCCTAATCCCCAAGCCCCACAGTGCATTATCGGCAGCTGAAGACAAAGTCGCGGCCTAGACACAGTAGAACATGATCGGAATCGGGAGGCGTAGCCTCCATGACCTTCGTGGCTTCAGCACCTAGTTCGGAACCCAGAAGCAGCTGGCCATTGCCGTGCGTCAGATGGGTCCAGCAAAGTTTGCGCTTTGGCCTTTCTATTGCGACGAAGAGAGCAGGCCGCAAATACACCTTGACCCGCTATGATAACAAAGGAGGGCGCCGAGCCGCTACTGCAGTTGCTGGGGCGACATACACCTCAACAACCTTTCATTGATTTCAATCGGCCGGCATGGTGCAGCGCAAATAGCAGCACTATGCTACACTTTACTTTGGAAGTTGAGCGCTATTGAGTAGAGGCTGGACACCAAGACCAAGTCTCAGGTCCCGCTTTATGACACCGTAAGAGTCAAGCTTAGCAATGTTTGACGCTTCGGGCTGTGTGAGCTGCACCGTCTAACCCACCCTCGCTCGGCTTTCGCGAGAAATCAAAGTAGATATCACTCGAGAGGGAGTTGAGAGTTCTTCAACGTTTAGGTTTTGGGGAACCCTGAACCATTAAATCATGACCCTATGCAGCCCACAGCTCTGAAAGGCTCCGCTGGCGCTGCGCGGCAGAGCCAGGTCCAGGCTCTTATTCGGGGTTGAGGGATTCAGAGCCAGGGCCTCAAAGTGAGGGTCGAGGAGATGAAGTCGAAGCATGTGCTTTGACCTATTGATGTGATGATGACTGGGAGAAAAGATGGGTTGTTATGATTGATTGCAGGTTAGAGGTCGGATTTCAGCAGGTTTGTTCAAGGTTCAAGGTGATAGGGTGCCTAAACTCTAGAACCCCAAAAGCTTTAGTAGCGAATTCCAAGCCCAAACCTAACTCTTGCCAAGTGGAGCCTTGCTAGTGTTTCTGCACCTCCTTTCAGGCGGCATCTGCGCCTACCAGAGGAGTCCGGGCCCCTACTCCATTCCAGTGAACGTGTGGGGTTCAGGAAAGAAGCCGCTGAAACCCAGGTGTAAGTCTGCGGCCGTTTCATGCGTCGCGTTTAGATATTCATTCAGCAGTTAAATGCAGAAACGTCTTCAGACAGTGACAATCGCTTATTGCACTCAGAGGGAGATGTGAACATGCGAACCAAGCATTATTGGCCAAAGTCATAAGATGCTAAAGCCTCACAAATACATGCGCGAATATTGTTTACATGTTAGTGAAACATTCATGTAAGATGAGTTAGGCATTACGTCAAATATTAATGCAAAACCCAAATTAACTGAGAACTACTCAGTGGTGAGCAATCAGCTATATCGCTCCTTGTTTCACTTTTTGAATTCGCTTGCTTGTGGTACGTTCGCGACGGACTTTGCACCCTCGGAATAATGATATATCGCTCCAGGGTATAATTATGATCAAACACTCGTGAACAATCTTTTGCTGCCAGATAGTTTTGAAGTACGTAATACTGAAACGCTGGTAAGGCTTTGTGTTGTAGGCGCGCACTCTTTGAAGGCGAAAGTAATGCTTTGCCTTCTCGTTAGAACGGGTCTTAGTGGCACACGAATATGAATTTAAGGCTTAATCACAAATCTGCAAGGGGAAGCATAGTCTAATGACTATAGACTATATGTACATGTACGAACAGAAGAGCACGTGAGTGGATTACTAAACGGGTAATGACAATAGATCCACAACAAATCATTTAAGTACCATTTACTTACAGGGTATCCAAATTTGAATTGGTTTCGTTGAACCCTGTCGCTTAAACCTTGGGCACACCCCAATTCTGGAACAATTCCTGAAGCAAATGCGACATCAACACAAACGCTAGAACATGCTGCTAGAACATCACTTCGTGTACAACCTTGTGCCTGCAGGCCGCTAGCAGCACTGCCCCGATCGTGGGAACTGCAGCGCTCGCCACCGGGGCCCTCCGAGCAAGCAAATTAAACACCACACGCGGTCCTTGCTAAACCGGTATGGGTTTCGCCATAGTTTCGGGAGGGCTAGCATCGTAAGCTTCTTCTTCTCAATAGTAGTCTCGCTTTCTGGCCATGGGCTCGCACAAATCTGGAATACCAGGCTGTGAACACGAAGTGCGCTCACTGGGATGTTTAGAATGGGGTTGAAGTTCGAAACTAGGCGTATCGATCTCGTGGCACATCTGAGGCTGCCGTTCTGGCACAGCGGCTTGGAAGCAACCATGACAAGGAGATCATCAGAGCATCATCACAAATGCTGACTGCTCCCAGATTCGCCTTGAAGCTTGAAGCAACGGGGCCGAACAGTCCGCCTCTCGCTGACAGACTCCTACTTCTTCGCTGAGGCTCTCCACCTCAAGGAGACAGGCCTGGTAGAGTTTTATTCTCGTGGAGAGCCCTGCGTAGACTACCCCAGCCCGGCGAGGCACGCGTTGCTATGGGCAGTGGCCTGATGCCGCTGGGCTGCAAGCCTTAAGCACACTGCTTCTTGGGGCCTCTGTGACTTTTGGCAGCCGGCCGCAGTGTGTGTGCGCGGGTGGGGGATGCAGGGCTTCAGGCTTGAGAGTTGATGTGGTTCTGGGATGAGTTGGGGTTCAAGCCATGTGGCTACAAGACTTGAGAAAGAGTTGTGAACAGAAACGCATTGTCTCTTCAACAACACCAACCACTCCTAGATTTAATAAATTTAATACTTCCTACTACCAGTACGTTTGCTATTACCAGTAGCAAAACTACTGCTACTACTACCACTACTGCTACCA